AATCCAACAAAATTCATGCTCAATAATCCAGGTACAAATCCAACAAAATTTGTGCTCAATAATCCAGGTACAAATCCAACAAAGTTCATGCTCAGTAATCCAGGTACTAATCCAACAAAATTCATGCTCAATAATCCAGGTACAAATCCAACAAAATTCACGATCAATAATCCAGGTACAAATCCAACAAAGTTCATGCTCAGTAATCCAGGTACAAATCCAACAAAATTAATGCTCAATAATCCAGGTACAAATCCAACAAAGCTCATGCTCAGTAATCCAGGTACAAATCCAACAAAGTTAATGCTCAATAATCCAGGTACAAATCCAACAAAGTTCATGCTCAATAATCCAGGTACAAATCCAACAATGTTCAGTCAGCTGATCTGGATGGTTTTGTTTTTTTACTGAGACGTTTTGTCTTTCATCCAAAGGACTTTGTCAGTCCGAGGAGGCACAAACACACTGGAGTCCCACAAATACCACACTCCCATAGCGGGGAACAAACAAACAAACAAACAAACAAACAAAAAAAAAACCAAAACAGTTTGCTGGTGATAAGATGGTTTCTGGGGCCTGCCCTCTCCCCCATCAACTCCTCTGAGGCAGACATGCCAAAATGGTTCAAAACACCAAAGTCCAAAGCATCAGTGAAAATTAAACAGTTAAGCCACAAATATCCTGATGAAATGTCAGCCCTAGATGTAGAAGATATAGAATTAAGACTCATTACAGCATTTAATGTTGTAACATTATAGAACTGCTACTTATATTTGTTGGGTCTCTGTGCACTGACTGAACTTTATAGGTATGATCTAAAAGGGACTTTTTCAAAATGATCTATTTTTCAATAACCACAGGCTGATGGATCAGTCGGCTTCTATTCATCTAGCTAAGTGCAGCTCTTGTTCTTTATTCAGGAAAAATCTATATAAGCAACCTAGAGACAACATGTTTGAGAACCACTCCAGTAATCTACGCCTAATTTTACCCACAGTCTCTAGGCAGAAGTTTCCCCGCTAGGTAAAAAAAAAAAAAAATCTTTTGGCTGTTCCCTCTTCGGGGGTCTCCACACAGAGTCATCCTCCACCATCTCACTCTGTCCTCACTCCACGTCCATCTCCTCTTTGTCTTTTTCCTGGCAGCTGCATTTCTAACATCCGTCTACCAATACACCCAGTGTCCCTCCTCTGGACATGTCCAAACCATCTCAGCCTGGCCTCTCCAACTTTATCTCCCAGTTAAGCCTGTGCTGTAAATAAATAAATAAATAAATAAATAAAGTTTACCCCAGAGGTTGGACAGTTCCTGATGTGGTGTCCAGTATTTCCACAGCGATAGCAGGTGTAGTTCTCTGACAGGGTAGTGGCAAACTTTGTGTTCAAGCTACAGAGAGAAACAGGAGAGACGTGTGACACGACGGCAAAATGTCAACAAGATCAGCACCGTTTGAAAAATGAGAAATCAGAAGCGGTTGGCAGCATGGGGACAGAATCAGCAGCACAGAACACACACACACTGTAAACACGACTTACTTCAGAGAAGACTGATTAATCATCACTCTGATCTTATCCTCCTCAGACACATCTGCGTCAACCAAGTTAGCCATCTGCATCTACGGACAGAAACAGCAGGCCGGTCAGGGTTTCATTTGACAACCTGATCAATGTGAAGTACAGGAGGGCGTACCTTGGAGAAAAATGACAAGGCTTTGGTCGAACTCTGCTCACTCATCTAAGAATTAAAGCAGAAATCAGTTTATTTTGTCCAGAACAGCAAAGTGTTGATCAATAAAAAAAAACATTTCAGCTGGAATCAGTTTGCACAACGGAACTGATTTTTGATGAAACCTCGCGTTTAATTCCGATTCTAAAAAGGTTTATTGCAACAAAACGAGCTTTTCTAAGTTGAAATAAATAAGATTATCTCAAGGAAAGCAGCTCAGTTACGATGAGAAGTAACTGGTCGTCTACAGTAACAGATCTCGAGATGACGTGAAAACTATTCTAAACATGTCCTTTATCAGCTACCATACTTTCCCTCTAAGGAAGTGCTACTAAAATTAAATGTTGCTCAAAAGATTTATGTTTCTACAGCGACACTTGTAGTTTTCCCATTTATGGTAACTTCCCCAAAACACACATTTGATTTGAGCTTTTTAATTCACAGCAAACAAAGTGATGAACACCAGGAGATTATTGTGGGTGATCAATTACAACCATGTTTTTTGTTAAATTTTTGATTGCATTTTAAATATTGTAAGATTACATCCAAAATGTTTTACTGCAACTATAGAGTTACTTCCATTAACTGATGTATTAATATAATTTACAACCTTATTTCACATCATTTATGGTTCACAACCAGCATAATTAAAATGTATCACTTATAAATGTTTAATTTAAAATTGAATCAGCTGCACTCTAAATCCAAATCAACAAAGTCCACACAGACACAAAGAAAGAAATCTACTTTATTACTCTGACTCACTTCAGCTGCGTCTCTGCTAATAGAATAATCTGTAAATGGGCCAAACACGTTGATGCAATTACTGCTCCTGTTTAGGTCGTCTTCTGTGGAAGGAACCTAGTCCCATAAATGCCTTAAAACAAAAACCATCCATTGATTCTTACAAATAAACTTTAACAAATTCAGTCCGTAACACAGCTTCATCCAGATTGACTTTATTGGTAGAAAAACACAAAATGAGAAGTAAAAGAAGCGTTTGCAGTTCAAGAGAGACTCAAAGGATTGGAAGGAGCTGCAAACGTTTCGCCTGAGGAGTCAGAGAAAATGAAGTGAGCTCATCAGTAAATCTGACTGTAGCATGGAAACACTTATGATCCACCAGAAACATCATCACATTGGATACCTACAGTAACAACTGAAGACATCAAACCCATATGAATGCAGCTTGAAATCAAAAACAAGTCCCTTAAGACTTATTTGATTATAAAGATTAAAACAATACAGACAGTATATTGGTGTAAAACTGTTTATTTGGACAAAATTATCATAGTTTAAAAAAAAAATCAGCCAAATGCAACAAAACTATAAAGAGTTTGAGATGTTTCATGTTCAAGAGCTGAAGCAGGTTTTAGGAGAGCCAGTGGTTTGAGATGACGACTGGGTTTGGACCGATAATGGCTGACACACACACACACACACACACAGCTCTCAACAAACACACACACACACACACACACACACACACACACACACACACACAGCTCTCAACACACACAGAGTGAGAGACAGCTGAATGAAGCACAACAGAGCTGAGGATGGTGACACAGCAGCTAGTTCAAATAATAGCTGAGAACTTCTGTTTGGACCAGAAACACAAACATGGATTTATCTGCCACCCGTCAGTCAGCCTGTCTGAGGTTCAGCTGTCACTCACTCGTTTTCTTGTAAAAAACCATTCAAATAGTCTTTATTTACTCATTACTTGATTATTTATTTACTCATCAGTGTAAAAACCTGATTTAACACAGAACAGCTGCTTATTTGACAATAAAAAGAGACATTTTACATGTTTTTGGGTCTTAAATGGGTATTTTTTAAGTGTCAACGCATAGGATTAAAGGTTTATTTTAAAAAGTTTTGTGTGTGTGTGTGTGTGTGTGTGTGTGTGTGACTGACTGACTACGTACTGCTCTGCTGACTCCGAAGACGTGAGGAAAGTGGAAATCTGACCGCTCACTGAAACACAAAGACAAGTTTTGTTTGAATCTAAATCCAGTATGATTCAAAATAAACCAGGTAACATTTGGCTAACTTCATGAAAATAAAGTGCGGCTAAGAGCTGCACAGAAATGTATAAAGACGAAAAAAAGAATCGTCTGAAAAATCCTCTGAATGTCGCCCGGATTTAACCTGAAAATACGAAGTCCATCTTTGTGTTTTTACAGGTCACTCATGAATAAATATTTAGGATTTTCTTCTCGTTACAGAACTGAAAGTTTGGAAAGTACTTTATTGACCAACTCAGACTGTCCTCACACGAACTTCAGATTAGTTTTGGCTTGAAAACAGCAGAGTTTCTTATCAGTGAGCTGACGGAAACTAAACATTACTTCAAAGATGGCAGATTGTTAAAAAAATTAAACTCAAATCTTTCAAACTTTGAATAGAAGGGGTGGTAGCAGCAGAGGGTCAACGTATCTCACAATGTACAGTAGTCCCTCGCTACTTCGCAGTTCGTTTTACGCGGACTCGCTCTATCGCGGTTTTCAAATTAAGATCGGACGTGACACACGGTGGCTGATTGATGGATGAGCCACATAATCAGCATGGATTTTTTAATTTAAAATACATTATTTTAAATTATTTAGCACCTGCTGCACCCTTGTGCAGCTTCTCCTGCAGCGTGTTATGAACTCCGCTCTGCAGCGGAGAAGTGGGCGTGGCCGAGAGGACTGGCAGGTGGAAGAGAGCAGACGAGGCAGAGAGCCGAGATCATGACATGCTGTGCACTTTTAGAGCGTTTAGACTTTAGAAAAATTATTTAGAATATTGCGAGAGTGTGGGAAGTGTTTAAAATGCCTTAAGTTATATAAATACTAAAATATACTACTACTACTTGTGTACATAATTTAATTCCATTTCATGTACCACATGAGGTGGTAATGACAATAAAGTTTACTTGAACTTGGACTACTGTATACCTACTTCACGGTTTTTCCACTTAACGTGGGAGTGGGGGTGGTCCCATCCCCCCACGATAAATGAGGAACTACTGTACTCCATTTTTTCAGGTTGACAACATTTTCCCTTAAACAAGAGCATTAGTTTGTGTGTGACCGAGTCTGGGCCTCGTGAACAATCTCCTGGAAATACTAAAGATCTTCCAGTATACGTTCTGAAGGCAGGTGCTGTTTAGAAAAGACAATAAAAGACGATGGGCCCGCTGTAGTTTCCATGCCAGGCCTCTAGCTGGCGCTGTGATTTTTGAACACATGACCGCAACAGTAGTGTGGACGTGAAGAGACAACTGCTGTCAGGTAAAATGTCGTTTCCTGTGACCCGATGACCAGTTTTGAAAAACTTTCACTCCTAAACCTGAATTTGGCGTCACAGAATCTGATCGCTTGTGAACAATCTAATCAGACATAGTGTTAACACTCGGAGTGGGAGGTTAAGGATGACTCTCAGCTACTACCACACCAAATTTACTGTAGCTCAAAATCTCTCAAACTAACTGAAAATATAATAAACATTTTTGTGCTGTTAAGGTTGATTAGTTGTGGCGGCCATCTTGAATGCTCATCACTCAGTACGTAGTTTCTTAACATTTCATTGTAATCTGTCCAGTGGGTCATGAGATATTTTACTAACACTACAAACACACACAGGTTATCACCTTTGCACTTTTGGTGGTGGGAGATAAAGACAGGAAACTCCTTGCAGTTAAATGTTTCAGTAATTCAACATGAATTACTGGGAGACTGTATCTACCATTAAAGTGATGGTTCACATCTTTGAAGTGGGGTTCTGTGGTAAGGTTATGAACAATAAATATCTTACCTGTTGTAGGCATATTTCTTAATAATCTTTGTTTAAAAGAGTTTAATTCAGTTAACAGCTGGTCCAAGACACAGACGGTATACTGCCATCTTAAAATGACGTCAATATTCAATTTTTCACCGTCAGTTCACCATTACATGATTATTTATATAAAACTATGGGTATGTTCTAACACAAATGGCAGCAGTAGCAGCTGAAAGCTCATATTTTGCTGGATTATGTAAAGCAAAATGGTGAGGTAAAGGATTTTAAAAATGTGACAACGTGAACCACTGGTTTCTGAGACTGGAGTTTGTCTTGGAAAAAAAGCAGCAGTCCACTGGTTTTGGATCCTTCTAGACTAGCCATTAGCTCATCAACCTGGTCATAATCACATTATGTTTCTCCAAACTGAGGTCGCTCAACGAGCCATCTGCAGCAGGTAAGATATTAGTTGTTCCTAACTTTTCTACAGAACAGTAATCAAATCTTGACCTATATTTTCTTCAATGCCTATATTCAACCATTCTCTGCTATATATGAGACAGATTTCCTGAAAAAGGTTTGTTGGTGGACTTGTTAAACTTGACTCATCCCGAGGGCAGACCTCCAGGTGCCAGTTCAGGCTGGGTGTTGGCTACTGTTGCAGGAAGATAAGCAGTAATAACAGTGCTGGAATGAAGCAACCAAACCCCAAAGCACACACTTACGTCTTGTTGGTCTTGCTACTCGAGCTGGACTTGCCTCCAGCGGTGGGGAGTCTCCTAACGATGACAGAGGAGCCTTTGGGGATCAGGCCTTCGTCGTCCGTGTACTCTGGGAGGAGGGGACGAATGCACAAGTTTAAAAGCAGATTTATTTTTAAATTTGTGTTAATGAATTTCAATACCATTTTGAAATGCACTGAGAAATATCCTTCAGGAAGTAAAAAAAAAAATCTTTGAATCAGGTGTCGGAGCAGGGAAACGACTAAAACGTGCAGGATGGCGTTCCTCAAGGACCAGAGTTGGGAACCGCTGTGTTAAACAACCCCCAAAATGCTAAAAGGACATTTTAAAATCAGGTTTTGTAGAAATGTTATGAACAACTAGTATCTTACCTGCTGAAGATAGCTCTTTGAATTTGAAGAAATAGTTTGTCCTATGAAACTGATGAGCTAACAGCTAGTCCAAACGCAAAGTGGATTACTGCCATCTTAAAAATTTCACACCAATGTCTGCCATCGTTATTATTTAACTCTTCTCACAGCTGTCAAGTTTGTTTTACACTATTAGCTAAGCTGGCCTTACTGTGGCGGCCATCTTGAATTGGGTTGACGTCAAAAGCTGATGCGTTGTAGACAATTTCAACAATTACTTGGATAGTTTCATTAAAACCTTTTATTTTACTAGAAGACCCCCCCCCCCACACACACACACACACAGGTAAAAACATCACCCTGGAGTTGACAAAAAGAAGAGTGTAAAGGATTTTAAAATAGCGATTGTGTGAATTGCGACCTTGCTCTCCACTGTGTACGGACTAGCCGTTAGCTCGTCAAACTGAGACAACAGGTATGTTCGTGCTCTTTCAGAGCCCTAGGTCAAAAAAAAAAATCCAAAATATCCTTTTAAATTATGTTAATGCCTGCAAGAAAGCTGTAAATAAGGATAAAAAAAAAATTGTTTTGCACATCATGCGTAAATATTTTCTCAGCCGTTTGAAATTAAATCTCTTTAATGGCTTCTATAGGTTCATGTTATTTCAACCTGCTTACAAATTCAACTAAAATGACATGAAAGCAAACAGCACCCATGGGTTCCCACAACACTGGTGTGAGATTACGCTCGAACGAACGCGCTCATTTCTTCAGTTATTCTCTAATCTCTAAATCTAAAGGGAGTTTCCTCTCAGTGTTGTCTGAGAAAGTCATCAGACAGTTTATGGTGGATTTCATAACTCCTCCACAGGATGCTGACAACACTTATTCAGTGACAGCTGATAATCATGCTTTCCTCAAGTTGAAGACATCTCAGCAAACTTCCTCTTGGTCTGAGTGCATGTTTATTTGTAGCCCTTTTAGCCCACATCTCTGCACAGACACTGGTGCTCCACCAGCAGCAGCTTCATTTGGTGTAAAGCCAGCAGGAATGTGGCCCATTCATCTAGAACCCCTTCATTGTCCTGGTTGGACTTTTCTGGACCTGAAACCGTCAAAGCTGGACCACGTGCTCTCCAACAACCTGCCATTCAACTGGGAAGGGGGAAAAACAACACTCTCACCACTTCATGAATAAAGTTTTATTACACGTATGTTTGTTTTTACCTTCTTTGGTTTGTGCGTTTGTGATCTGCAGGTCGCAGTCTCCAGCTTTGAGCTTCTCCCTGCTCATAATCTGCCTCTTCAGGTCACTGAGCGTGGTGTGCGGGCCGTCGAACACCACCGTGTCGTAGCTTAGTTTGGACGAGAATTTATAATGAATATGAGTCATATTTAAAATTAAAAAAAGAAGAAATAAATCAATAAAAGCCTGGCTCTGAACTGTCGGGCTGCGCCGAAGCAGTGACAAGGAACGAGCTGACGTTAGCCGGCTGCAGTGAGGAGCGTCGGCTGGAGCTGCTCCGCCGCTAACAACTAGCTAAAAGTCGGCTGATAAAGTGGCGCTGACCGGATGACATGGCCCGGTGTCGGTCGGAGCAGGAGCACAGGCTCTGTTCGAAGCGAACCCACCCCGGTTCGACTCTAATTTTAACTTTTATTCGCGGCAATGCTGCTTTCAATCCTTGCAGTTGGCTGACAGAAACCACCAGCTGTTTCCACAAGCAACGTCTCGTCAGCACAGTGCACGCGCCCCTCCTGTGCTGCGTTCACTGCTCCCCCGTATGCTCCGATTTTTCAAACTCTCATTTTCCTCTCATCCTACAACAAACTTTCGGACGTCATCACCAAACAGTATAGTGGTATGTTTCTGTTTAAAATTCTCATCACTGATATTTTATTAATAAACAATGTGCAGTGGTTGTGTTGCCACTGTTTATGTGAGTATCGGGAGAAAACGGAATAGTTTTGTTTGTTTGTTTGTTTTGTTGTTGTAGCAACATATTTTGTTTGCCAAAGATAAAATATTTTGCATGCCAGTTCAACTCCTGTCTTACAACTCAAACTACAAAAACGGCACTATCCTGCGTTACAAATGGACATAATCTTTGTTTTGGTTTGTTGTAAAGTTGCTAGCTACTTTTAGCGCATATATCAATTGTAAATGGGAAATAAAAGCTGATTATTTGGCACAAAGTAGCAAATATAGACAATCACAGAGTTACGAAACTATGTAGTTCATTTAGGTTAGGAATAAGATGTTTTATGTTCTTTTTTTGCACGTGGTTTCACTGTCGTGCTTTTTCCCTTCATCCCTTGAATGCATCATTTTGCCTCCATGCAGCGCACCTGTTCGCCGGTTTAGGTGAACATCAGGTTTATGCCCCATAAAAACTAAACGAGCACGCTTACGTTTGTTGTTACTTTGTTAGGATTTTCACCTTTTACCTTTTTTAAAATAAATGTTTACAATTGAAACTGCGTTAAAATATGAGCCAAAGTTATCTTCAAATAAACGCTAAATAAAAACGCTTGGAAGATAATGACAAATAAAAAAAAATCACAACATAATTTGATGTCGCTTGAAAACAAGTATTGTTTAATAAAAGTCCGATCACTAATTGAGTATGTGAGTGTACAACTAAAGTAATCCACTAGAGGGAGACAGAACACCACAAAACATCACTAAGAACAATTTTGTGCTCCAGTAATCTGACGTCATTCTCTTTCATTTATGCTAAAATACTGTTTTGCAATAAAAAAAAAAACTATTATTGAATTTTTTAACAATATTTAACAATGTTTAGATATTAACTTAATGTAACTGTGTCACAGTCAAGTTGCAAGACTTTTTTAAGTGAGTTGCTGTTATTGATGTTTTTGGTACTTTTGTGTTAGTTGTGTTTTAATTCTTAAATTATGAATATAGTAATTCCACTATTAAAACAATTTATTGTCTTATTTCTTGATATTTCAATTAATACTTTGGAAAGCTTCAATATAAATGGAGCTAACATGCACTGGAAGGACAGACATCTTTTGAAGGATAGATCAGTGTCTCTGGCTACCAAATTAAACTCCTATCTAGGCCTGTCACGATAACAAATTTTTCTGGGTGATTAATTCTTATAAATTCTTGTGATAAACAATAATATTGTTTGAAATTTGACAATAGTTAGTAATTATTGTCAAATTTATGAAGAAATGTTGGTTAACTTTTGTGTGTTGTACCTTTTTTGACCACCGGATGGCAGTATAAGACTGTTTGAACTGAAGGATGGATAGTGAGGGAGCAAGCAGTGTATCTCTTTAAGAAAAATGGGAGGGAGGCTGCTTGACGTGACATGGGTTGTCTCTCTTTGGTTCTCAAAATGGCGGACGCTCAGTGTGGTTTGAGCTCTTTAGCATAGCATTTTTCACACAAAGCTTTTAATAAAAAAATAGTAAACAAGTTCTCAGCTTCTTTTTCCAGAGAAAAACAACTTTTTACACAAAGGCACGGGTTTCAACCGTTAATTTTGGAGCTTCGACAAGACAGTTTTTTTACCCCGAGGTCAACCTGTTAGCTTAGCTCGTAGCTTAGCAAAAAAGAGAAAGGGAGGGGTTAGTGAAGAGCATAGGAGTCGAGCCTTTTGTCATCCAGTGTCTTCAGTAGAAAGAGAGAGACACGAAGAAACGATAAAGCCGATAAATAAAAATGTGGTTGATAATTTTAATTTATCATGTGATTAACTGATTTATTGTTTATCGCGGCAGGCCTACTCCTATATTCTCTGGTTTTCCAGTCTTAGTCTATGTTGCAGAAACCTTGACTCTTAATGCTAAGACAGATTATGAAGAATATGGACATTTGAAATGAGCTACTGCCAACACCGGCTTCAGGTCCATTGGTCTTCCCACACTACAGATGTTGAGGTCTACCACAGCGTCCAATGCCATAAATGGAAATCATGATTCCTTCTAAGGCAAATCAAGAAGGAGAAATTGAAGTGGTTTACCCATGCAGTGAGGGCCAAGAAAACTCTGTCAAACATGATCCTCCAAGGTTTAGCTGAGAGAAACCGTAAAGGCGGCAGCCCCCTCATCAATGGGCAGATGACATCTATACTTGGACAGGAATCCTTTTCTGTCTTGCCGAGGATCATCCATGGTGAAGGTTGCTGGTGAATGATGTTTGCATGGCCCCTACAACAATAGGCTTAGTGACCGATGATGATGTTGATGACATGCACTAACATGTGTTAGGTTAGTTTGAGAACACGTATCTGGAAAATCTATAGAAATAAAACAGAATCCAGCAGATTATAGAAGGACCATTAAAGAGAGCAGCTGGATTAAAAATATTTTATTTTGTCCAAAAACAATAAGGAAATTAATTTATGGTAGTTAGGCAAACAGGTTGTTGTTAGTCTACTAATAGAATTAATTTATGTTCCCTGTCCCTGATGAATCGTTTATAAAATGCATGGTCCCCAGGACAGAGCCTTGGTGAACGTCACTAACTAGGAAGTGATGGACACTTTTGAACCTCACAGTCCGAGAGGCTTGATGTAAACCAGGTGAGCGATGTTCTGATGATTTCAAAGATGAGTACGGAGGGAAAACCAGTCGGCTGCACGGACGTTAATAAACATTTTCAGAAGGATAAGGTGCAGTTGATAAAACCGTGACAACATCCTCCCAGGTTGGTGCGAGACGCCACCTATACACACCAGAGAAGCTGATTGGCTGGATTCAGGAGAACGAAGGGACAGGAAGGACACATGTGAGAAGACTGTCCTGCTCAGTCGGTTCCTGCTCTGCTCAGAGGAAGGATTTGCTCCATCTTCCTGAGCTTAGCGCACCATTGTGAGAGCAGTGGGTGGATGAAAAGATGCAGAAGGAAAAAAGCGAGGGAAGAGGATGAAAGGAAACCAGCAGCTGCCTTTAAACTGATGTTCTGCTTATCGTGACATGATAGAGTATATGTGTGCTCAGTGAATCAGCCATCAAAGAGCTGCTCGGAAACAATTACTTCCTGAATTTTGCGTGCATTAATCTGGGTTTCTGCATCTTTAAATCGTGGAACATGGCACGCTTCACTGCGGTATGAATATGGAAATCTTTAGCTATGAAAGAGGGATCAGTAGATGTAATGTAAAAACTGACAGTGTCTTGGTTCAAGACACTAAACATGCTCAGAGAAATGCTGTATTTATGGAATGCAAATATGTCATATAACACTGGGAGAGATGCTGCGTGGAAAACGCATCATAAAGCATTTTGTAGAATCTAGAAAACATCAGGTTTGCAACTCGTTTTTGTTTCATTTTCTCTTTCCAGGAAGCTCTGTAAAATCACTTCTTCCAGACAGATTCAGATGGTGACTACCACCACACTAAACTGTAGCTCAATGTCTGGAAAATCAATGGAGTTAAAGCGATTTTTGTGTTTGCTGGTCAATTAGAGGGGGCTGTCTTGATTCAAAGTTTCTTGTTAAAGTTTCTCCAAAACTAGTAAGTATAATAAAACAGGTTAAAATAAAACTATATACAAACTAACAAGTATACTGAACCACATTAGCACACCTAACTCCAAAAACCAGAGAGTGTGGCGTTAAAAGCTTAAAACTGCATGAGATGCTCTGTTTATGGGATGACATGTAGAATATTGACCCTCCCCTCCCACCTGGTTGTATAGGGTCTTGGTTTGCCTGGTTCAAATGTTAAAAGTATTAGGATTAACACAATGAGCTCAAAGCTGATGGTTCAGTCAGGTGCTGGATAAGTCTGCAGATCTTAAAGCCTGAGGAGATGACGGATGAGCTCATGAGCCTCAGGTGCAGTAACAGAAGCAGGAAGTGAGCTGGTGCTTCTTGCAAGAACTAAACAGAGGTCCAGCCAGCCCATAGCTCCACCTAGAGAAAAATAGACTGATGGGGAAGGAAATGGGGAGAGAGCCAAGCAGGTTGTGTTGGAATCCTTACAAATACTGTGTTTAATCCAAAATGGCCGACTTCCTGTTTGGGTTTGACCATTTAGGAGATTTTTCTACCTCGTGGTCTGTTAAGGTGCACAAAATATTTTAAATCTGTTTATAAAAATGTTTTTGTGCATGTTGCTCAGAACTAAATCTCACTTTTGTGACATTATTAAAATATATCACATCCCTGTCCATCCCTGGTTTGTCTTTCAGCATATCCTGACTCTCCCTCTCTATTCCTCCACCTTTCACTCTCAGTTTCGTCCTTCTGCTTGAACAATGTTCAAACCTCTGAGTTGGTTTTTTTTCTTCACACTTTGAATGTTCGAAGTGTTACTCCACTCAAAGCATACAGGAACAGGCACTCACACACGTGCACAGGAACAGGCACTCACACACGTGCATGGATGAGCCTGAAAGTGCAATTACTCACAGTTTGTCCTTCTCAGAAAACAGAAGTGTTTCTTTTCCATCAAACTTGTCCAACCAATCCGCCGCTGATATGACGTCTCCAAGTTCGAGGTAATTTATGAACACTGGACTTCTGAATTAGGATGAAGGGAAAGAGCTTTGTTTGATTTGTAGTCGTCTTTGGCAGAATGCACCGGTGATGTAAATGTCAGCTGTCTGCCACTTCATTCCAGACTTAATTGCTTTAACATTTTGGCACAAGATGGAGCTCCCTGTGAATCCCAGTGCAGCTCCAGTGATTTTCCCACCGATCCCACAGTGAGGCTGACATTTGCAGTTGACTTAATTGCCATTATTACAGTGAGTGACAAAAGTTCATCATCTCTC